ATATTGACATATATTTAAACTTTTACATGTATTTCTGTTTCTTATGGATGAATGTTTTTTCATATTTGTTAGCTATTTATAAAAAGTATAATTTAACATGTCACTTTAGAGGATTTTTCTACTTTTTGAGACAAATTAAACATGAAAGACAAACAGAAGGATTTAGAAAAATGAAGTTTGGAAATGTGTGCTCTTTTTTTTTTTTTTGTCTTTTGTCTTTTTCCGTGTCCGGCAACGGATCGCAACCCTCAGTGTTGCCCCCGTACCGGACCGGGGACCGGCAACGTGACTGCAACCCTCGGCGTTGCTCCCGTGCCTCGCTCAGCCAGTGAGCTGGAACCGGTCTGTATGCAGGATCCAAACCCTCGGGCGGGAGCGCCGCCGCGCTTCCCAAGCGGCGCACTTATCCAGTGCGCCACCGGGCCGGCCCAGAAATGTGTGCTCTTTTGACATTGTTTAGCTTATTTAAATGTGTTTCAGGCTCTTATACATTTTATTATTGTACTGTTGTGGTCATGATTTATCTTTATGTAGAACGTTCTTATTTAGGTTGGATTTTTTTTATAGTACAGCAAAAAGTAATCTAAAAATTTTCACTTGATTTTGCTGCAGGTACAAACCCGTAGTGCTGATGAACCAATGACAACATTTGTTGTCTGTAATGAATGTGGAAATCGATGGAAGGTATGACACCCTCTTGGATTCATATATACTCATTTATAATAGAATAATTTCTTCCGGTCTTTTCATAAGTCTGTCTAGATATGTAAATATATCTACATGTGCTCACACTATCCAGTACTCTGGAAGTCCCTGACTAACTACTTGTAATGGAATGTACTATTTTGTACCCTGCTAGAGATGAAGAGTGTTAATTTGATTTCACCACCTTCATGTGTTTTTGGTGCAGGAATAGCAGGAGTGAATCTTAAGCGTTTAGTTACTGTGTCACAATCCTGTATATACTACATTCATTGAATTGTTTTGACTCTTGTACTTTCAGAACATCTGAACATGTTTTTTACTTAATAGATTTTGATTCTGGAAAAATTTCTTTACCTTTTTGAAAACAAGCCTGATGATTTTAGTGTTTAATTTAGGAATTACAGATGAGCACTGTCATGGTTTGGTAGGCTTTTACTAAGCCTTCATATTGCCTGTGTGCTCTTGAATTAGCCTCACACAGACAAGCTTATGTTATTTAAATGACTCATTCTTAGGTGACTTATGTTACTGAACTGTAATTTTCTCGTGTATTAATGTAAATAACTACATTGCAAGTTGTGATGAGTAGAGATAATATACTTAAAGTGCCTGATAATTGTTGGTGTTGCAGAAATGCTGGCTCTTTTTATTAGTTTTTGTGAAGTTTTTTCAAGATTCTTTTTTTTCTTCCAGTTTTACTTACATAGGTTTTCCACTTTAGTGTTTATTTTGAATTATTCACGTAGTTTAAAGCATTTTCTGAAAATCAGAAGTGAATTGGAATCCAGATGAATGTCTTCCACAAATATGGTTTGGGACTTTGGCCCTAGACACTATTTATGGGGCTGGGGCCAGTATCTGTTTCATTACATGCAAAGATTTAGTTCTGAGCTGGGAAGGTTACTGGTAATTGAGAAGAGAGTCTTCATGGTTTGAAACAGTGTCTCCTACCCTTCTGAGTTGGCTGAAGTTTTTTACATTGGTCTAAGAGTGGGACATTCACCCCCTCCCCCCCAATCCTGTTGAGCAAATTTGGCTTTTCCAGGTGGCTTTCTTAGATTTGTTTTGCATGATGGATTATTTTTATTATTATGAGCGTGTATAGTGTAGTTTGTTTTGAATGCAGACAGTTTACAGCACAAGTTCTGACAAACTCCCTATTGGATTTAAGAAAGTTCAATTTAATGTAGAAAGCTGTTGCCTGAGGTAGCATATTCTAGAAGGTGAAATTTAGAATTGTTAATATTTTTAACCTAAAAGGGTTAAGAAGAGAAATAATTTTTAAAATGCTAAAAATGTTTTATACTTGTTTCTTATATATTCCTACTAATTCTAAGTTGGGAAAGTCAGAACACTTAGGATAGATGACTATTATGTGTGCAAAGGGTAGCATGTTTTTGAAAACTGCCCTTTTTTCTTTTTAAGCAATATAAAGTGTATGCTGTGTATACCTCATTGTTCTTATATAAAGGTCTCATAAAATATTTCTTCTTTTTTTGACAGTTCTGTTGAGTTGGAAGAATTGGCAAAATGTCTGGACCATTAACAAAATGGATTTTGTAATTAGCTTTATAACTAGGCCAAGCAACTAGTTTTCCTGCAAATCAGATTTTTAAAGCAAAAAACATCCCTTGGATTAGTCTTTGTTTTTGACCTTCAATTCTTCCCTTAAACGCCTTCTACAGTTTCAGATCAATAGGGAGAACATATAATAATTGTATAATATGTTTCAGGACTTTTTTTTTCATTTTTATAAGTAAGTTGGTATTAAATTTTTATCTATTAAACTTTGGGCAATTTTTTTTTCTTCTTTAAGGAAAATGTTCCTTAACTTTTTATAGTCTGAAACATACACAGTAGAAATTCTGTTATTTCTGTTAATACATAAATGGAAATTACATCTTTTTCCATATTGGCATGTACCTACAGATATTAAAGGAGGAGAAAAGGTAATTTAATTTTAGGTTTACCAAATATGGTGTGTATTCAAAAAATACTTGACCAGCTTGTCTAAATTGTACATAATATTTGAACTAGTATATGAATTTGATTTTACGTTCAGAAGCCTGAGATAATTAGATATCATTTTACATCTGTAACTAACCGTAATCATTATCTTTTGTAATTTCTTATATGTGTGTTTTACTTGTTCTTAATAGATTTTACTTTTGGAAACATGACTTTGTTGAAATCCGTTTGGTTTTGTTGTTTATTTACCCATTTGACTTTGTAGTGTATTTTAGTCTTGCAGAAGACTGTTGTAGTTTTAGTAGGCTTTTCATAAATCCCCGCACAGGCAAAGAATGAAAGCTTCTGATGGATTTTTTCCCTCATAGAAAGAAATACTGGGAAGAAAATGCTAGTGTCTTAGATAGAGTATTGTAAACAATTCATGACTTGATTTTGATTTGGAAATCTGTACTGACCAAGGATTAAGCTTAAGGATTGTATAAATCATTAAAGCTGTGGTCTTTCCATATGGAGATTGATAGAAAATATTTTTGTCTTGAGTCTTATTTGCTGTTGAATGAAGTTGTTGAACAAACTGAATATATGAGGTATAGCAAGTGGGTCTTACTATTGAAACATGCTAGCCAGTTATACAGTAACTGGAAGGAAATGTTATCAAATTATAGGTCTTACAATTAACTTTCATTTTTTGTTTAAGTGTGTACAATTTGTTCTGTTAGGAATTTAAAAAATGGTTTTCACATAGGGTACAACTTGCTCTAGCACATCTTAAAGGCTGCTAGTGCAAAGTCTAGATTTTATTGTGCTGCTCTGCATTCTGTCAGACAACTGTAGAAAGACCTCAGTATATGTTTTGCATTCACCTTTGCTCCCCCTTTTCCTATTTCTTATTGCACATCATTTTGATGTGATACAGAAAACAACATTTAAATGTTCATGTTGAGAACTGGCCCACCGGTCCCAACCCATCTCTACTTTGTCAGTTCGCAGTTGAAATTTTTGTTTTATCATTTCAAAAATGAAGTACATTTTTGAAAGAATGAGTTTAAGCATAACAAAATTAAAATAATGTCACTTTTAAATTAAGTGATCCGTTTTAAAATTTGTAATTCAATAAGTAAATAGTCTCACTTTTAAATTAAGTGATCCATTTTAAAATTTGTAATTCAATAAAGTTTTTTGTTGTTGTTAAATATGTATCACATTTTGTCATTTTATTAGGACATTGAAGCTTGCTTTACCTTTTGTTTAAAAAGTCTCCCTTCTCCCCCTCCAACTACTAAGGTTTTTTGGTACAGTTTTAATTAAGTGGAGCCTGATTTTAAGTAAAAACTAGTATTGAGCAGCAGTACAGAGCACATTTTTTTGGTTGTTTTTTTTTTTTTTTCTTTTCCTGGATCTCTGGTGATGGATGGAGCAGTGGTTCTGAGTAGACATGTGAATGCATCCCATATATGCACCTAACATAATGTGAGAGACTAAACAGTGGGTTTTTCTATTGAAACATGCTAGCTAGTAATACAGTAACTGGAAAGAGATATTATCAAGGGTAATATTTTATTGTAATATTTACTTCCAGGGTAAAGTAACTGTTAAATGAACATACAGAGGAATTAAATTAGAAAAACGAAGTGGCAAATAGTGAAGAACCATCCTGGAAAAGCACAAAATAACAACCTTGGTTTTCTTGCTTACCTGAGTGGCGAAGAGTGTTAGTTTATAAATCTTGCTAAGCCATAGGCAAAATTTATATACACCGAAACATCTAAATCTATATATACTTCACAAATGAACATGTTTAAAGTATTAACAAGACAGCAAAAGAAATAACAGTCTATGCTTAGAAATTTTATATCTACAAAATGATTGTCCTTAAAAATCAAAGAGTAATTTGGAGATTTGAACTGACTTCTCAAAAACTACAGTTAGAGTGTGATTTAAAAAATTTTAATTTAACAATTATTCCTAACCCTCTCCCCCCATTTAGCTGTAGGAAATTAGCCATTCAAGAGGAATTGAATATCCCTTTGGTAAAAGTGGATGTGAATAATCACTTACAAGGAATTACTAGTGAAAGCCGCATGTCAAAAAATAAGCCAAGTACCAACCTTAAAGATACTAATTCAGAAGGAATAGAACAGAGTTACTGACAAATTCCTAGGTAGTAATGGAAGAGTTATGTTGAAGAATGTTTAAGTAAATTAAAGTCAGTCAAAAGTAGTAAGAGAAGTATTTGGAAAAAAATCTCATGACCATGGCTATGTTAGATAAGCAATAGCTATACTTCAGTGAAGGTGGAGTCTAAGTTCTTGTGCGAAATTTGTTCACTGCTGTATCTTACTGCACCTTGAAAAATGCTCATGAAATATGAGTAGTTTTTCTTGGTTATATTTGTGTCAGTGCTTTACCTTTCTTGGCTGTCCAGGAGCTAGGATGTAAAGAATGTTCCACGGGTTGAGGACCTGTGGAGGTAGGATGGATAACTACTGGTTAGTAATGTTTTAGACTTCAATTTTATGGTAAGAAATGTAATGCACCAGAGTCTTGGGAGATCCCTTTTGGTGTTTTAATTCTGCAAAGTGATGCAACTGTTTTATTATTAATTGAGATTTTTTTTCCCTTAAGTCAACCTGTATACTCTTGTGCTTGTCCAACTGGAGGATGGAAAATAAAAGCACAGATAACTACCTCAAATGATTTACTGTGTTCTGGTTCCTCTCCCTGGATGCTATATAAAGACTACTTTTTTTTTTTTTGCCTAATGTCCATGACTGCAAAGATAAGAACACATTTCATATGTGATATGCCATACAGTCTGGTTAAGTTAGCCCAAGTGTTTTCATAATTGGATGAATGAACTCCTTTAATGAAATTGGGTGCGTTCAGGATGGTATGATTGTAGGCTGATCTGCTTTGAAATAAAAGTTATTTGTGTAATAATGCTAGTGTGAAAATACAGCTGATATAAAGAAAGCAAAAACTGTGAGAACACTGGAGTTTAGAATGGCATAGCTCTAGTTTTTATCTGTTTGGCACTAGCTCCCACTTTTCTGATTCATTTAGAGGATACCTTCTCCCTTCCATTTTACATGGGTGGGTCTCATTCACAGTGTCCCACCCCACCCCCACTCTTCCTTGAGATTACTATATGAACAATGATAGCTAAGCCACCATAAGCTGCTTCTGGGGTTCCCTGTGTTATTTTGCCTGCTACATGCAGAGACCTTTCATGTGATGAAGCTGAGGGGAATTGAAATGGAGAGCCCTGATAGTATTGGACATCTGGATCCAGTCATGGGGAAGCTGGAACTACTGTGAACTTCCCGCTTATGAAAGCAAATCAATTACCTTTGTGCTTAAGCTAGTTTGAGGTAGGTTTCTGTCACAAGCAACTGAAAAAAACATCTTAAATTGTTTTTGATGAGTATTTGAGTTAAATAAAAGAACTTATATGCGAACATCAAAAGCTATGAGAGCACTGCTAAGATATCCAATTAATCTGCAGAAGCAAAAGAGATCTGGAGAAACATTAAAGATTCTATTAAAGTTACGGGTCAATATCAGGCTGATTTATTTCAGGATTGTTTTGTTGATCTGTCCATTAAAAAAAACTTAATTGTAGAAAGAATAAATAACATGAAATCTACCCACTTAAACAAATTTCCAAGTGTACAGTATGGTACTATAAGCATAGTGTTGTATAGCAGATCTCCAGAACTTATTTATCTTGCATGACTGAAACTTTATACCCATTGAACAACAACAACTCATTTCCCCTCCATCCAGCTCCTGGCAACCACCATTTGTACTCTGCATCTATGAGTTTGACTACATTAGATACCTTCTATAATGGGATCATGCAGTATTTGTCCTTCTGTGACTGGCTTATTTCACTTAGCATAATGTCCTCTAGGTTCATCCATCATCTTCATCCATCAATCTTGTCACGTATGGCAGGATTTCTTTCTCTTTTTATGGCTGAATAACATTACACTACACACACACACACACACACACACACACACACACACACACTTTATTTGTCCACTGGTGGACATTTAGATTGTTTCAACATCTTGGCGATTGTGATTTTGCAGCAGTAAACCGGAATGTGTATTTCTGTTTGAGATCCTGATTTCAGTTCTTTCAGAACTATGTGGAATAGAAGTGGCAAGAATGGGCATCCTTGCCTTTTTCCTGATCTTAGAGGAAAAGCTTTTGGTTTTTCCCTGTTGAATATGGTGTTAGCTGTGTGCTTTTCATATATGGTCTTTATTATGTTGAGATCATTTTTTTTCTTCTATTTCTAGTTTGCTAAGTTTTTTTTTTTATCATGAAAGGATGTTGAATTTTGTCAAATTCTTTTTTTTTGCATCTGTTGAGATCATGTGATTTTTATTCTTCATTCTATTAATGTGCTGTATCACATTGATTGATTTTCTTATATTGAACCATCCTTGCATCCCAGGGATGAATCCTACTTGATCATGGTATGTGATCCTTTCAATGTGCTGTTGAATTAGGCTTGCTAGTATTTTGTTGAGGTTTTCTGCATCTACATTTCATCAGAGATATTAGCCTGTAGTTTTCTTTTCTTGTAGTGTCTTTTGCTGACTTTGGCATGAGGGTAATTCTGGTCTTATGAAATAAGTTTGGAAATACTTTCTTCTCTTCAATTTTTTTGGAAAAGTTTAAGAAAGATAGGTGTTAATTTTTCTTCAAGTGTTTGGTGGAATTCACCAGTGAAGCCATCTGGACCTGGGCTTTTTTTTTTTTTTTTTCTGATGGGAGACATTATTACTGGTTCAATCTCTTTACTATTGGTCTTTTCAGCTGGAACTGAAAACTACTGTGGAAGTTGGAATTTCTTTTTTCGTTTTTTTTCTTAATCTACTAGGATTTTATCAATTTTATTGATCTTAAAAAACTCTTAGTTTCATTGATTTTTCTATTTTCTATCTTATTGCTGCTTTAATCTTTATCATTTCCTTTGTTTTGATAACTTTGGGCTTGGTTTGTTCTTCTAGTTTCTTAAGGTGTAGAGTTAGGTTGAGATTTTTCTTCTTTTTTTAAACATAGGCATTTAATTGCTATAAACTTCCCTGTTCTGCTTTTACTGCATTCTGTAAGTTTTGGATGTTGTGTTTTCATTTGTGTCAAGACATTTTCTAGTTTCTCTTTTGATTTCTTCTTTGACCCATTCATTGTTTTAAGAGTGTGTTATTTAATTTCCACATATTTGTGACTTTTTCAGTTTTCCTTCTTTTATTGATTTCTAGTTTCAGTTCATTGTGGTTGAAGAGATACTTGGTATTGTCAAAAGACGAAATTACAACAAATTTAGTTTAAAGATCTTAATTGACTTTATTTGCAACTCTAGAATTGGGCAACAATTCATTCTGTAAAGTAGAATAAGTTGAAGGATTAAAGAAAGCAGAGGGCCGGCCCGGTGGTGCACTTGATAGAGTGCGGCGCTTGGGAGTGTGGTGGCACTCCCGCCGAGGGTTCGGATTCCATATAGAGAC